TGGGATTTCAATTGGTCTGCATGTATATCCTTCGTTGACCGTGGAACTTGCTCCCGGGGATGACATAGGTCTCGGCGATCTCGGTGTAAAAGGATGACGTTGAGGTACAAAATTGGCATTGTTCGGAGGTGTCTGTGAGCACGGAGGCGGTGTAGGTGGAAAAAGTGTCGTAGGTGGAGTCCATGGTGGGCGTGTTGGGAGCGATGGAGATGTAGGTGGTGGAGGCGGTATTCCGGATGGGTTCCAGAAAGGTCGATGGGTCGTCATTGCGTAGTGCATCGGGCCCCGGAACGCAGGTACTGCTTGGTGCCATCCATGTTGATGACGAGGGGGTGTGCGAGAACGATCCGATTGCGAAGGAGGAATTCCATTCATATCCGTGCTGTATTGGGAGATCAGGTCCTGGGACGCCATGATGTAGAAAGGGTCACGAGATAATAGATGAAAATGCGCTCGAACTGCCGATTGAAAGCTGCGGAAAATGTCGAGGTGAGACAAGGATAGTGTGCGAATGAAAAGGTGTGAAACATAATACGAGGTCCCAGTGTGTGAAACGTAAAGTGAAAACGAATCTTGCGAAAGGGTCAGAAACCTGAGCAAGCAGCAGTACACAAACCTTTTGAGGAAGAAGTGGCGTCAATACCGAATGTCGGGAGAAGCATTGTTACTCCAAAATGATCGGGCAGGGCCACTAGGCTCACGATATCGCCGACGTAGAATAGTCGATACTTGTTCTGGTGCTCCTCAAAGGTAAATAGTTCACCAGCGGGATTTGGAGTGGTAGGTCGAATGTCGAGAACGAGGTCGGCCTTCGTGGTGCTGGTCTCGAGAGTGGCCTTCATGGTATGAGGAGCGGCGATCTCGGCGATGATAGGTCGAGTCGTCCCAAGAAGCATTGTCGTGCCAAGATCGGCGAGTATGATCCCGAGAGCCAGACGGAGTTGTCTCGCGGTGGCGAGGTGTGTCTCGAGAGTCGTCTGGATGTGTTGCCGAAGGGCCTGGGGCGTCGGTAAAAGGGTCAGGTCGTACTGGACGTCCGTGATCGTCAGGAGGTTCCGAAGGTGCATTGGTCTCCGCAGTCTGGTGTGTGATCAAGCCCGGGTAAACCGAGTGAGTGGAGGCAACATAGCATATGGATGCCGCGCTTGAGTTCATAGCCGTTGCATTGTCTTTGCCCTTAGCGATGCCCGCAAGGTTGCACAAGCGTTGGATTTGGTCATTTCCTCCAGCAAGGGCACGGATGCATTTTGGTGAGCGGCAAATGGCCAACAGGCCTGATGGGTTTTGTCCTTTGCCAATTTTGTAGAGCTGAGAGGTACAGATCTTGACAGCATAGCCGGGGAGGTTGTCGATGTCTGCGATCTCAGAGGACATTCCGAAGAACCCGTAACATGGGTATTGAGTCGGCATGCCAGCTTCGTTTTTTGTCCAAGTTGCCGGGCGAATGCAGTCTTCCGCCAGAATTTTGGCAACTGTTTCCCAACTCGTTTTGTGGTAGATCAAGTAGGTGCCCATGTGTTCGCCACGGTAGATTGGTTTCTTTGGCAATCCTGTGGGTACCGTGATGGTCAGCAGGTTCTCTGGCTCGATGTAGAAGGCCTGTGTTTGCCTCGCAAGGTCGATGTCCAGCAAGTTGGATTGTGCAAAGGCCCTGGCAATGTTCCTGACGGTGGCTTGGCTTGCTTTGATATAAATACGATGGTTGTTGACGGTACGGTATGGTTGAGCCAGCTGTTCGAACATCGCGTCGACGAATTGGTTGAAGAGCTGTGAGATAGCCGGAGTCAATGATTGGCGTAGAGGGACAACATGGTCGGGTCCAAGCTCCGTCAGGCAGCGGACCCTAAGGGGGTCATTGGCTGCCTCCACCATTTCACTGAGGTCGATGTCATTCGTGTCGAACTTGGTGATCGAAATCGTTTCGGCAACCTCAGAGTTTTCACTGTCGCCGTCCGGAACTCGGAAGGACACCGCGCCGAGTGGTGCTGAGGTGTGGGTTGGTGGGTTGGTTGGTGGTTCCGGTGGTAGTGGATCAGCAGGAGAATTGGGTTGAGTATTGTGGTGATGGTAGTTGTCGGTGTAGTGACTGTCGTTCCATGTACCCCAGGTGTCATCAGCATCGGGAGTGGGGATGTAGTTCGGATTCGATGGGTTCGCAGCTGGTCGAAGGACGACTTCACGGCCTCTGGATCGGTGGCGGGGCGTCGCAGAACGTGGGCGTGGACGAGATCGATGACGTAGAGGAACCACGGGAGAGCGGCGTCGTGGTGGTGAGCGTCGTCTGTATGGAGATGGGGTTCTGCGGCTCTTGTCGTGTTTCGTGGATGATCGATGACGAGGGAGAGGAGAACGAGGTCGCTCGGCACGTTGAGGAGAATAGCGAGGGCGATGAGAATGTACAGAAGGTCGATGGGAACGTGGTCGTGGAGTCCTAGATCTTGCTCGGCGTGTTGGTGATGATGGAACTTGTAGCTGGTGAGGAGGAGCAATAGCTGGGGCTTGAACAATGCGAAGGTCCGGAGCGTCAGGTTCGGTAGGTCTGGCTTTCGGTGCGGGTGGAGGTGTGGCTGTCAGTGGTGGCACGGTTGTAGGTGGTGATAGTTGTGGAATAGGGTTCGGTGGAGGTCCATCTTGTTGGAGAAGTAGCTGACGTTGTTCTTGGGCTCGTTGAGTATCCATGATCACTTGTTGCTGAGCTTGAATAAGTCGAACAGATTCCGCAAGTTGCTGTGTAGTGGAGCCCAATGCGACCAGTTCGGGTGACACGGATGACGTCGGTGCTGCCGTAGGTGTTGGTGGTGTAGCAGGAGGAGGGGCTTTTGAAGCTGGCCTGCGCGGTCGATCCATTCTTTTGTCAGAGCGAGGCCCGGGAGCTGCTTTAACTGCTGGAGGCCGTGGTGAAGGTTCATCTGGGGAGACCATCGATGCGTCCGTCTGTAATGGAGGTTGAATGTGATGAGGTGGGTATGGAGAACTTGGCAAAGGTGTCGGTGGCATAGTCGATATAGGTGGTGGAGTCGATGTAGGGGATGGAGCCGGAGGAGAAGGCCACGTGGGTGGGGCGGTGGGTGCCGTAGGAGATGGGAAAGTCGACGGAGCGGTGTGCACCATAGTTGGTTCAGGGGCCAAAGGTGAGGGCATGGTGGGTACGAGCTGTGGGCCTGGTACTGCATGAGGAGCCGGAGACAATGAGGTAAACGGCAACGATGTTGGGGTTGATGTAGACGGCATGATAGAAGCTGAAGAAGACCATGTAGGATGCAAGGCCGAGGGATGTCCAAATAGATGTGCATTCGGCGATGATTGCTGCCACGTCGAAGATGGGTTCGCAGGCTGCGGTGGAGCAGGCCATGTCGTTGGCGGAGTGTTCCACGGATGCATCGCTCCAGTAGACCAAAACAAAAGTGAACAATCACATACAGGATTCAGTCCCTAAATGCCTAAAATGTCGTGCAATTATTCCCTGCACCGGGACCGTGGTCAAGTCTTGCCGCAATGGCATAAAACAGCTTCCAAGTTCCAACGAATTAGATGCACAATATGTTTCACCTCACCAGAGAACCAAAAGGAAAGAATACCACACCTGAAGGTCGTGTGCCTGCCTGCGTTCTGTCTCTTGTAATGTGACTGGAAAGGTTGCTGCAAAAACGGAGGTTTCTGGCAGTTCGGATTGGCTTCACTTGACAGAGTGCAAAGCGCTAGGATCCCTGGGACCACAGGAGCCGCAGGACTTCGTCAAAAGTGCAAAACGGTAAGGCCAGCTGTTGCAGTTTACTTAGATGAATTATCAACTTAAAATGTGTTAATTCGGCAGTCAAGACAGTCGTCACTCACCCTAAAAAGGGTTGCCTCAAATGGCTCCATGGCACCATGTCGGAGCCACCATGGAAATCACACTAGACAAGAATGGATCATTATATGATCCGGCAGGAACTGAATCCTGAAACATGCAAACCAGCCTAGATCGTTAGATTAGTAAAAGAGCCACATGAGGTACTTCTCGAAAACGATGTAGGGCATCCAATATTGTCAAACGTAGTCTTAACCAGATTCCATAGAGTTTTGACCAGCATGTTGAAAATCCAAAAACAATGTTTCGGCGATTGTTCCCCAAAATAACCCAAAGTTCATCGGCGACATGATCTCGGCGAAAATATGTCAAAAATCATAATACTGTCGGCGATATGGTTTCGGCGAAAATCTGAGGAAGGTTCTGATGCATTCAATACAGATTGTGGCAACCGTGTAGATTCGAAACAACGCAGTGTAACAGCTTGATCAACAGTTGAAACCGATTTGCAAAATGGCAGGTACGTCACGGTGATCAGCCGTGATATCACAAGCAATGGATAGGTGTCTTCGTTGGCACCTGACCTATCCATGCTCCAGGTGCCCCCTGCAAATATAAAAAGGTTCCCTGCAAATGTAAAACGGTAAGAGTCAAGGAAGTTTTACATCTGTTCAGATGTTACACACACACATATATACACATCTACAAAAGTATCCATGGGTCCCTTTCTTGAAATGGGGTACCCATGGGTACCGTTCTCAAAATACTGTACATGGCTCAAGGCGCCACCAATTCGTCCGACGTCCGACCTTCGGGGATCACAAACTGGTGCTAAACGCGTGCGTGCTAAACGCAGGGTTGCTGGATGGGTTGGGTTGCTGGGGTTGCTGGGATGATGATTGATAGTTAGCCAGTGGATCATTTCCGAAAATTCCCTACGTAAAACGCACCAGTAAGTATTTTTCAATATGATCCAATATTTATGTGGGTAATGTCCAATGTCATGTTTACCACCCATGACTGGGAATGGTTTATATACATGTTTCAAAGTTACTTTAATTTGAAAATCTATAGATGATTCATTTAATAGATTTTCCATGGGTATTAGGTAAATCTATAGATGATTCCCTCTATTGTGATTCATTTTAGCAAAACAATGGCACTAGAGTTCGCGATGTCGCGACGCGTCGCCGCGATGCGTCGCGCAGGTCACCGATGCCTGTGAGACGCCACAGGCTCCACAGGCTCCACAGACGCCACAGAAGCCACCGCAACACCTTGCTTCGCCACCAATGTGTGGCGTGGCCATTTTCTTGGGACGGTTGCCCTAATTCGGAAACAAAATTCCACTTAAAAATCTCAAAAACAATTTTTTGGGAGACCATTTTGGAAGTGTGGGGAACCCATTCCACTAATTCATTGGAAACAAATCTCAAAAACCGGGAGTTTTAGTGGAGACCATTTTTTCCAATTTGTTTTTTTGGACATTCCTTGGTGAAACTGAAACTCTCAAGAATGAGGCTTAGCCAATGTATAAATTTGGTCAAGTGTTTGCGAGCAAATTTGGAGGTACCAAATTTTTCGACAAACCCATGTAGACGATTTTCCAATCACGACATTTCCGGCTCGCAGGTTGTTTTTTTTCGGGTAGAAACCCTTTCAGAAGCCGAACATCCATGCCTTTCCCAGGTACAGCTGGTGGCTGAATCCAATTTTCCCTGTTCCACTTTAGCACCAGAACATTTTGCACATCCGCCATTTGAAATACGAGATGATTTGGGAGAGTTCGATCCGCGTCGATTCCAATTTCACGTCATCAGCGAAGTGGAAGAGGGTACCACTTATTCTGGACAGTGATAACTGGTTGGTGGTTTGGAAGATTTTTTATTGTCCATACTATATGGGATGTCATCCTTCCCATTGACGAACTCATATTTTTCAGAGGGGTAGGTCAACCACCAACCAGATTATTAACCACCATTAACCATATAATAACCATTAATATTCACCATATATTAACAGTATATTACCAACCAATGGTAGGTTGAAACCACCAACCAGTAGTAGTATATTACCAACCAGATAATATGTGATAATGGTATCACTTGGTACATTCACCTCCCTGCTGTGGCTAGTGATCATCTGGCAAAGCGGCCCGACCAGGTTGGCTATTTCCGTAGCGTGGAATGATTTGACACCTCCAAGGCTCCAAGTATTGCTATCGACCCCGACCGTCAGCCAATTCTTTATTGATAAAGTTTGATAAAGTCAGACAGGTATTGTTCCTATAGTTACTCTCCAGTTGCTTGACATGTTTCAACATAGATATTTTTTAGAGTAATCCCCCCAAAAGTAGAAAAAGTAGCTCTCAAAACAGTGATCAATTGAACTTTTGCTCGTTTTTTTTTGGGTTGTAACATCGACCATTTGTAGATAATTTCCTACTGAAACACCCCTTAATTTTTCGCCAAGGTATGCAGGTGCCCATCATCGCCGTGCCCGTGCTGGTCCCTCTGATGGCACCCAGGGTTCGGGCGACTCAGGGCACTCGCTTTTCCGTTGAGGATCTGGTCATTTGTGAGGATTCGAGCTCGGAAAAAAAATCGAGCCCAACATTCCATGAATTCTCATCGACATTTTCCCTTTTGTCTCCATTGGAATTCCCATATTGCGGGACTAACCCACAGGAATTCGTTGTTGCAATTCCTTTTCCGCACAGCGACTGCAAGGCAATTACCAGCCCCAACCCGACTGTCGCAAGGACGCCGAAACGGGGGGGTGTTGTGGTGTGGGCTGATTGGTGCTTGGTGTCTGATGCGCAAATTCAAGCCAACCATATTCCGGACCAACCATTTTCTTTGGATATGGTATGGGATATATAATGATATATATATAATTATCATGCTTTCACGGATATAGACATGGGAAATAAGCAACAACATGGGGGTTGGTCAAAATTTGGGATTTACGTCCAAGTTGTGACAACTCTTGGGGACGGTTATGACAAAACATTTATTGCAACGGGGCTTAGCAGGGGCTTTGCCCCTGCTGTGGGTGTGAAATGATGGTGAAAAATGGTAGAACCATGGGATTTGGGGGCAAACTATGACAGTTGTGAACCAAGCTTTCTAACCAGCGATTGGCCGGTCATTTGTGAATGTTGGGTGGTTTTGTGTCCAGCTAGGTCCCAGTCGTCGGGTAAACTCTGGTACCTGCAAGACTTCATGTAGGATTTCTTTCCCTTGGGTGATTCATCCCCAACCAGAAACTGGTTTTCGGGGCTGGGACCCCTGTGGTTTTAGGCTTTTCTGTATGTAAAAAATGACCAACTTTATGTTTGGGTGACAACTTGTGGGGTCCCCTGTGGCTTTGGGACCTTCACAGGTGAGCGTTCAAAATGGGAGCCGATTGGATTTTACCATCCGAAATTAGCCTTTTTCTTTTCACAAAAACATCATTACATTTTCAAGGCATGTCAAAATGCAGCCAATTCATTTCCATTGAAACCCATGGCCCAACGAACTGTGACTCCAGTGATCCAACGAATTCACCTCCACATTAGCGGCCAAAAACACCCCAAGAAAAGCAGTGCCAGCTGTCCTAGGAGCTTTGCAACACCTGCCCCAGCTGTGCCTTGACGAAAGTCTGGGGAGGTTCATGAGATTTCCAGGATTTCTGTGTTCATCCGAAACCGGCTTCAGCCGCATGAACTGGGAGATTTAAGCCTCAAAATAGGGGTTTATTATAGCAGTTGTAAAGCAGTTTTTTTTTTTAATATGGAACATCAAACCATCAACCATGGTGAAACAACCAATAAATCACAATCAACCATCATTAACCACGATTAAATTCCATTAAATCCACAATGTTTGATGTTAACCAATGGAATTTACCCAGAAGTGCGGCTACTGTGTTTACCAGGTGACTCCAGATGATACGCCCCGGACCCAGTGTGGCAACCTTGAGATCCAGGTGACGGGAACGGAACTCACGGTGTGGGTTTGGCCGTGAAAGGTGGTAAAAACCATTGAAAATCATTGGTGATTGAACATCATTGGTGAACATATGATTGTACCCCAACTGGTTGGTTAATATATGGTTAATATATGGTTAATATATGGTTGCTGGTGAACCTTTAAGGAAACACGGTCAAACATCGAATTCTGTCAAAACCTGGGTACCCTCTGGTAAACGTTGACAGTTTGCGAACTTGAACATGGTCCAGTCGAAATTTCGTTGATTTACCCATCAATAGCATGGTGATTTTCCATTGGGGATTCACAGATGCATTAAGCAGCAACTCCGTGGGGTTCTAAAGCCAATAGAAGTAGAGGGTCAATAGCCATTTATATTGGTAGATTCCAGACCACATATATGTATAATATAGATATAATATATATATATAGATAATAATAGATATATAATATAATATTATTATATATAATAAATAAATAATATATTATATATATTATAATATATATTATATATAATATATATATATAATAATAATATACATATGTATATATATTATAATGTATATTATATATAATATATATATAATATTATAATATATATACATATTATAATGTATAATATTTATAATATTATATATATATAGAATATTATATAATATATATATAGTACATAATATATATATAATACATAATATATATATAATATAATATAATATAATATAATATAATATTTATATATATATAATATAATTATATATATATATGTCTATTTTCACATCTTTTGCCGGATTTAGCCAGCATATATGCCCTTTTACTTCCCATAAACAGCGAGAATTTCTCAGCGACAGATTGCTGCAGGTTGCAGGTGACTCGACGCCGGAGGGTAATTGCTTTGGAGACCCCGAGGTTCCAGATGTTCCAGCGGATTTTAGCGGTTTTCATAGGTGGGTGGGGTGATAGAATCATATCAGTTGGAGGAGGTGATGAGGCTAGAATATTGCTGTAGGTACCTATGCATTTTCCAGGCTCTTCGTATTGTGGACAGGAGCGGGGTTGAACTAGTTGAATTCAGCTTTTGACAATACCGGGACGGAAAACAAACACACTTGTTTTGTTTCGGGGGAATACACGAACTTGTTTGGACTAATAAGGCTTTAACTATAGATTAACCATATATTTTTTTAATGCCCAGTTACATTAACCACTAGTTGTTGAACATTGGCACATCACTGATTGTTGTGGTTTCTTGTGGTTTCTTGACTAATGTCGCGCTCGATCAATGGAAATGGATGGAATCTATGAATTTATAGATTCACCAATTTATAGCTCCATAAAATTGATAGGATAAATTGATAGGATAATTTAATATAATTTATTGGAATGCTAATCCTCCAATTTTTCGAGGAATTGGAGGATTTACACACCCAAGAGGATTTTTCCCATGCTGTCCTTGGCAGTGAATTCACCAATCGAGGCTGCTTTAGGCTTTGGATCCCAAGTGCTTCGAGGCTTTTTATCCATTTTTCCTTCGTGGTTTGGTAGCTCGCCGTTATTGATATATAATTGATATATATATATATACACATAATGTACTGGAATCAGCATATGTTTTCAAATGCAAATTGCTGGAGGATCCAAGATGATCCAAAGATGATCCAACGATGATCTTCACCCAAAAAGGCCGCTGTTTGAATGTGGTTTTCAGAACTGGGATGATGTAATTATTATGACCCTCAGTCATGGTTGCTGAAACGGCAGCTGAAGGATGCTCCAAATTGTTATTACCATCTGGGTTATTTAACATAGCCATGGAAAATCCCTTCTAAATGGAGGTTTCAATGGGAAAATCATCTATAAATGGGCCATTTTCCATGGCTATGTTAAATAACCAGAGTGTATCTGATGTACATTTTCCATTGCTATGTTAGTTTACCAGAGGGTACCACATTGATGCACGAGAAACCCCAGCCAGCTGCGGGAAAATCGGAATCGCCCATCAACAAATGTCTCCCCAGCCATAGCTAGCGTGCTGCAGCTTCTCCGAGTGTCGCGTCAGGGGCCAGCATCGTTTTACAACTTCATCGACGATTTGAAGGTCTATCCGGAGTGGTCACGCCCTTCTCGCCCCACAAAATAGGGACATCAAAAAAGCTGGTTCTATCCATTTCTATCCTGTGTTTTTTTTGATATCAAGGATAAGTAAGTTATATGTTTTATTCCTATCTTTGGTTCTCACAAACCCATGACATCAGTTGATAATTTTGGCTCTGTCCCGATGTAGAATTTCTATCCGTGTTAGCACTTGGTTTCCTATATTTGAGCCCAGTTCACCTAGCGATTTCAACACCAGTAATCCAACATAGCCATGGAAGATATGGAAGCCATGGCCCTTTTAGTTCGATGATTTAGCATTTTTGAAATGTTGATTTTCCAGTTCGGCAGTTTGGCCAGTCATGACCAGAGGCTCAGTCCAAAAACGGCTTCTCTATGGCCTCTCAACCATCATTTATCAGTTGAATCTCTTAATCTGAGAGTTAGGCTACACCCCAATATTCCATCAATATCCCAAGACTCAGGTTCCATCATATCCCATGACATAGCCTCATTATATCACCATTTTGGTTGGTGAAAACCCCATCAGAGATGGTCTTTTTCTCGTTTAATCTTATATACATTGTATCCTGTTAACGTATCCAATTCATATTCCATTCATATCCACAGAAAACCATTAAGATTTTAGCACCCATTCATATCTATTAAATTCTATTAACATCCATCAATAGATCCAAAGCCAAATTCAAATCAAAATTAACAGCTTTGCTGCTGAAATTCCCCTTACCCTCTGGTTATTTGACATATGGAACATAGCCCACTTGTAGATGTTTCATGATGATTTACCTGTCAAAAATGGTGCTTTTCCAAAGCTATGCTAAATGACCACAAGTAATATTCATTAATATCCATTCATATTCATTAATATTCCATTAAATATTAATTCTATCAATATTCAATTTATCATGTTAAATCACCATTTTTGCTTTTGAACTCCCACCATTTTCATATCCCATGAGAGGCGCTGATTTCTTTCCGTGGCAAGGTGGAGAAACAGGTCACAGGATCGACAGAGCCCGTGGAGTTCGGAAACCTGGAAACTTCGTTTTCTTTTTGGTAGCGGCTTGTAGGATGGATTTCATATGGTTCATAGATGTATATATAATATACATATATATATACAATATATGGTGTATATTAATGAATGGTTTCATATGGTTTAACCATCCGGTTTTCTTGAGCCAATATAGTAGATTGATACACTAAAAATCAACGGTTTTACCCCGATGCACTAATGGGATACATATATATATATATATACATACATATCACACCAAACATATCCAAACATATTGCGGGGTTGTCGCACAAATGGGGAATGCCACCAATGCATGGCAACTTTACTAAGAAAGCAATAAGAAACCGTGGTCATTTTTTTTATGATGAACTGCGAGAGCCAGATCTCAGTGGGCACTGCGGGACCGCCATTTCGACTGCAAGATGTCACATGGAATGTCAGATCGAATGTCAGATAGAATGGCAGATAGAATGGCAGAAGAGATGTCAGATAGAATGCCTGATAGAATGTCAGAAATAATGTCAGATAGAATCATGCCAGAAAGTATGTGAGAAAGAATGTCAGAATAGATGCCAGATAGAAAATCAGAACATCTGTCAGATAGGTTGAATGCCAGAAAAAATGTCAGAATGGATGCCAGATACAATGTTAAAACAATATGTCACGGTGGGGATCACTCGAAGTACAGTAATTTTAGTGGAAACTAATCTTCCACCCCCTATTTGCCAGGGTCTATGTTTATTTACTGGGGGGTATGTGAGAAAGAAACATTTGGTTTCTTGCGAGAATTCCAATGTTGCTGGAGATTGGGGAAGATCCTTCGAGGGGATGGAGAGCCGACTCAACTTAAGAATCAGGATATTGACCACATAGCAGAGTCTTACCCTCTGCCGAACGTTTACATAACGAACTGGAAAATCACCATTTTTAATGGTTAAATCATGTTAAATCAACTATTTCTATGGCCAGTTTCCATCACAAACTGTCAAATTACCAGAGGGTGGTAGCACTGGCCAAGCCACCCCTCTTGGCTTGGCGGTCTGGAGCTGGGAGGCCGTTCATTTTCGGGAAACATGTCCCACCTGTTGAACTAATTAACTATGGAAAAGCACCATGCTATTAATAGGTAAACCATCTATAAATGGACCATTTTCCATGGCTATGTTAGTCATAACCAGATGGTAATACCATTTTCCACGATTCTTTTTGGTTCATCCACACTATTTTAAAAAAACAATTGTTGTTTGGAAACATCTTCACAATTTCCGCATCAATAGTCATCATTGTTTGGTCAAGCAGCATCAATCAGCAGTCATTTTCATGAAAAGACGGCTCTATTTTCGGAACAAGCGGGTATGCTCTTTTTTTAAATCCCAAACACGTAATTTCTTTTTAGAAACTAATATGTGCCATGGGTCAACACTGGGGCAACTTGCCCGTCTTGGTGGGATAGTCATCGATCCCGATTCCTGTGGGATGGATGACCATACCAAACATACCAAGGTAACTTACCCGGCCTGGTAAACGTTTACAAAAAACAATGGAAAATCACCATGCTATTTTCATGGGAAAACATCATTTTTTTAAGGGTGTTATAACCATAAGAAGTCGTACTCCTATTTGCCCTTTGGTAATTTGTTACATAGCTATTGAGAATGGACCATTTACAGTGGATTTTCCCATTAAAAATTGTTATTTTCAACAGCTATGTTAGTTTACCAGAGGGTAACTTGACCATCCCAGGTTTCACCTGTGAAAAGACCAGCCCGTTGTTTCATGAAATTCCCAGAATCAGAAAACAAACTGGGATAACCATGGGATTTTCCAGCGAAGTAAACCTCCATATCCTCCATATATCCCATGTTTTTCCATGATATTCGCTAATATCGCTAATATGGACAATAACATGAAAAGCGAATATAATGGAAAATCATCGGATATGGAGCATATCGATGATATATCCTCATCACCGGGAATTCCGATGGACAATCGGACAATCCAGCTGATATCGATTTCTTTCCCGGATTTTCCATGGGTTTTTTCCATCAGCTTGATACCTTTCCGACTTCGATTCAGGTGGCCTGAATTGGAGTTCCAGGCGTTGCTGCACATTTTCCACCACGGGAATGGTGTGTGTTTTTTTTTTAATAGATCCTAAAAAATGGACAAAACTATACCATATTTCTGAAATTATAATTTATGTACCCTCTGGTAAACTAACATAACTATGGAAAATCATCATTTTTAATGGGAAAATTCACTATAAATGGCAATTTTCAATAGCTATTTTGACATAACCAGAGGGTATATTTAATCGAACATATTAGGGATTGTTTGGAACGTTGGGGTACCCTAAACTCCATTGGTTGATCATGATAAAACCCCTATGAAAAAATGGCCATAACGCCAATACAGCAGCAATAATTACAGCAAACAACACAAAATTACCAAGTGCCTCTGGTTTTTGTACTGGTTGGTGGTTTGGAACATGAATTTTATTTTTCCATATATTGGGAATAGTAAGCCCAACTGACGCACTCATATTTTTCAGAGGGGTAGGTCAACCACCAACCAGATCACGTTTTCATCATTTTTTTTATCACTATCCGTGATCCCGCATAGCCGGCTGCAGGGCGTTGACTCTGACTCCGATGCCTCTTTCTGCAACCTGTACAGAAACTTCCAGCGGCACTTTACGATGCTCCTGGGCAACAAGAGGTGAACATGGTGAGTTTCATTCAATGGATTGGTTTAAGGCTTTTAAGGGAAAATTTGCAGGAAAAATCCACTGATTAATGGGAAAATCTATGGGTTTCCTGTAGTTTTTCCCTTAAACCAATCCACTGATTCATAGGAATTTCACCCAAAAATCGGAGATGATTGGATATTGTTACTAGCGTCAGAAGGGGTTTCAGAACTCCAAGAATTCGCAACAAACATGGGGAGTCAACTCGGGATTCACACAATTTTTGGGACATTAACACTAGGATGATATGTGGGGTATGCAACCAACAACCATGGGCTATTGCCATCAGATCTATGGTGTGTCCTTCCGCATGGGATTCAACCCTCTCTATGGGATCATGATCCAAAAAAAACAGAGGGCTACTGTAAGCGTAAGCGTAGTGATGATGTTTGGATTCACACGACCTGGCTTCGATGTATGTCCCTTAAAACAAGCATGAAAGTTGTGAACCTGGCACGTACGGCCATTATAAAAGATGAACATGATTCATGATTCATGATTCATGATTCATGATTCATGATTCATGATTCATGATTCATGATGATGATGATGATGATGATGCTGCAGCAAGGGATGGAGGAGGGGCTTCAACTTTTGAGACAACCCCTTCTATGATAGGGTGAACACACTGGGATCTGTCTTCCAGGGATTTCAGGGTCAAGTGATGTCAAATAAGGGATGGAAAATTGCCATAGAAATAGTTGATTTACCCATGGAAAATAGCATGGTGATTTTCCAGTTCGTTGTGTAAACGTTTACCAGAGGGTATTTGTGGGGTAAAGTTATGATGAACACCCAAAAAAACCCAGCTTTTTTGGGCTGAATAGAAGGGTAGGAAACTTTTGACCCGTTCTTTTGCCGCAGTCTTGCCATGATCGTCATTGGTCAACAGCTTTTGGACGTACAACATCCATTGGCGGCTTATCTTTAACTATCGAAAGATACCCTCTGGTTATGTCAAAATAGCTATTGAAAATGGACCATTTATAGTGGATTTTCCCATTAAAAATGGTGATTTCCCATAGTTATGTTAGTTTACCAGAAAGTAACCATATATCCATAAAACCATGTGATCATCCAATCATGTGATTTCCTCTCTTAGAACATGTGCAAAGTGCAGAGATGGAAAATTTTTCCGACCCCAAACATCCCAAAACCATCAACCAATGGGAATTCCAGGATCTTAAATTGGAGGTACGTTAGTAAGTACCATATTTTGGGCCATATGAATTGTGGGGATATTCTCTTACATAGGCCTGAAACATAGGCCTTATATATGGTAGGACCATCAGCCCCATCAGCCCCATCCCAAACTCATCCCCCAAGGCCTGTGGAGAGGACCTTCATCCACTTCAACACCCGCAGCTTGGCGTCCGTTGCGCCGCGTCGCCGTTCCAAATCTGTCTAGAGCCTGGAAAGAAGGCCTGCCCGGGATGGGGAGAAGGCGTTTTTTTTTTTTTTAAATGGGATAATATAATATGATATAACAATATATATATAATTATATATATATATCTGTATGCATGCATGCACATATATATATAAGATAATCCATATATATATATATCTACATAATATGTGTAGAATATACACATGACAATTTTTTGCAGACTTAGACAGTTTGGATGAACTGGCGGTTGGAGATGTCAGCCTGAAAAAAATGTCAGCGTATCCACAGCTCGTCACACAGTAGGACCAACAGTTCCAATCATAGGTCTACCCTCTGGTTATGTCAAAATAGCTATTGAAAATAGCCATCAATAGTGGATTTTCCCATTAAAAATGGTGATTTTCCATAGCTATGTTAATTTACCAGAGGGTAGTTTTTTTTGGTTGAGGATATAGAAACAAACATTTTTCACCATGAATCCATGTTAAAGTAGATTTGGATATGGTTTTATAGTAACCCCCCAAAAAGATAGACGCGCTTCAACTTGTCACTCTTTCAGTAAAAAGTGTGAAGTTTGGATGTTATCACCCACAGGCCCAGCGCATGCGAAAACGGGAGACGGCCGTTCCTACTTCAAAATTTTGGTTTAATGGCCATTGGTTGTTAAGTTACCATAGATTTTTGGATTCAATGGCCATATTTCAACATATTTCAACCTATTTCAACCATGGCCAATTTTTAAGATTCCGGGTCTTTGTGGGAGTGCGCTTTTTGGCACGTTTTATGTATTGAATGATGTAGAGAATGAGTCACTTCAAACATCTGTTGATGTTTGTCTTACTTTTGAGGCGTACCAGTTATAGAGCTATATATATATATAAGGATATATATATAGGTATATAGGCGGTATGTATTGTGGAAGAACTTTTGGCTTCAAGTCTTGTGTGTCTTCGGCACATCTCCAAATTTCTACGGCAAAAAAATATCTTCAACTGCAAGGACCTGAAAAGCAATGTTTCGTCAGCGAGAATTTTTTGCTCTCCGTAGAAATATGCTGGGACAACTGGACAACCAGCCATTTTTGCTATGAAATGGGCCATCTATACCATGGCGAACTGTTAGTCATAACCAGAGGGTATATATAATATATATAAAATATAATATATATATAATATATAAAATATAATATATATAATATATATATAATATATATAATATATATAATATATATAATATATATAATATATATATATATAATATATATAATATATATATAATATATATAATATATATAATATATATATATATACATATATATATACATATATATATATATATATAATGGAAGTACTTGAATATCAAAGAGAAGTGGAATTCAATTTTGGCCGTTTGCGCCACGCTCAACGATAGGGTGGTGTTTGCTTCTATGCGGCATGTCTTTATAGCAAAGCATGAACAAGAGGAAGCAATACTTTTGATTGACAGGAGATTTCTTTTTGTTCCCAAGCAGTACTGCATCTTCTTGACAGAGTTTCCTGCATCTTAAAGAGATACGGAACGTTTTATAAGGATAAGCATGCTGTTCTCTTCTAAAAAACGGTGTTTTTTTAAACAAAGTGTCAACTCAGATTATAAAGGCACAGAGAGGGCAACATTCCTTTGATAAAGTGCATCATTACTGTGAAGCAGGGCCCTGAGATGTGCACAGCATTCCTTTTAGAAAGACTGCACCATGTCTTCCATATATTTTGGAACGCATAGGGTATGTCTTCCATAGAGATAGTACTATTTCAGGTAAGGGTAGCGTCTCTCAAAGAAAAAAATGAATATACACATTACTTTTTCAAGAGTGCGGCATTCCTTTAACAAAGTACATGATGATTTAATTAAATATATTAGCTTGAACAATGGTGGTAGGCAATCTTCCTTCGACAAAAGAAACAACATTCAAATGGAAAATAATACCATTATTTTAAGATAGCATATTTCACTACATGTTTTTTTTTTAAATATATCAATAGTTTTTACATGTATACACAGTATTGCTTTCAAAAGTGTGTGGCATTCGTTTGAGAAAGTAACCTTCAGGGCACACTGCAGTCCTTGTGAAAGAGTATGGCATTGTTTAAGCTCTTGTACTAAAGGGAACCTTTTCATATATATATGTATAGCAATCCCTTGGAAAGAGGGTGATGTTTCTGTAAGAAAGTGCAGTATGACTCCATGGAATGGTCATTTGAACAATAATAATATTCCTTGCAGAAAGTCACGCATTATTTTGAAAAGGTATTCTTCAAAAAGCAGTTCCACTTGAAGAAACCATTGCATTCCTTGAGCACAGTGCGGCATGCCTTTATGCAACTTTCCTTGAAAAAGATGCAATATTGTTTTATCCTTTTGGTGGCACTCCTTGCTTCGAAAAAACCATGGTCCCTGCAAATCCGGTAGACCGAACGGTGCAGCAGGCAGGAAACATAGGAACAGGCAAAAAAACAAAAAACATTGGAAAAACCAAAACCCAAAAAAAGATTGGAAAAACAAAAAAAAGCAAAACGCAAAACAATCCTTAAAAAAACATATTTACGGACTCTTGTGTAGTTCCCCCCCTCTCCAAAGAGTATGGACATATTGTATTTTTTCTTGTTTTTTTGTTTTTTCCAAGATTTTCTTGTTTTTTGTTTTGTTTTTTCTTTTTTTGTTTTTTTGTTTTTTTGGGTTTCGTCCTCCTCCAAAGAGTGTGGAAGTAATTTGTGGGGCCACCCTTCAAAGAGTATGCAAGTAGTTTGTAGGGGCCTGTGTCAGATTCTTGTGTAAGAAGGCATCTGGGAGTGCAGTAAAACCTCTTCACATATTACCTTAAACCATGGCAAAACTGCACTCCCAGGAGGTCCCGTTCTGTTCTTTAAATGGTAAACTTCCAAAAATGGGGAATTTCGCTCCTGGGAGGAGCTTTTCGCCCATTGCGGCACTCGCGCCGGCTTGCGTCGAGTTACGCGCTGCGTCGCCGCCACCGGTGACGAGAACACAACGTTTTGGCAGAGGTGATTCTTTCCAGCAAGGAGGTCTCTGTTTGCTGTGATATGTACCATACAACTATACACAATGAGTATGTGAACTATTGTATAGTTCCAATAGCAATTTATTGTATAGTTGCTATTATATAAACATATATACATGTAAACATAATTATACACAATTATGTAAATGTGTACAGTATATATATATACACATGTACATAGGTATATATATATATGTAAATATATGTAAATATATGTAAATATATGTAAATATATGTACATATATGTAAATATATGTAAATAATTATATGTAAATATATGCAAATACATGTAAATATATGTAAATATCTGTAAATATCTGTGAATACATGTGAATTTATGTACATATATGCAGAAAGAGTTTTTAAATGTACATATGCATATATGTATAAATGTACATATATGTAGATATATGTAGATGTAATTGCAAATATATGTAAATATATGTAAATATATATATGTATGTAAATATGTAAATATGTGTAAATATAAATGTACATATATGAAAATACATGCGAATATATCTACACATATGTAAATATATTTATATATGTACATATGTAAATAGGTAAAAATGTAAATATATGTAAATATATGTAAATATATGTAAATACATGTAAACATATGTAAATATATGTAAATATATGTGCATGTATGTAAATGTATGTACACATATGTATATATGTATATATATATATATGTATATATATATATGTATATATATATGTATATATATATGTATATATATACATGTATATATATATATTCGTATATATATACTTATGTATATATGTATATGTATGTATATATATTTATATTTATGTGTATATGTATATATGTATATATAAATGTATGTATACATATATATGTATATATGTATATATGCATACATGTATATATGTATATATGTATATATGTATTGTAATGTAAT